GCATGAACCCCGAGTGCAATTACTCTGGGTCCTGGGGAAGTGGCATGTGGAGAGACAGCATGTCCATCAGCAGCCCTGGTGACTCAAACCCCACTTACTGCAGGGACAGCAGCACGGAGGCCTCTAAACGGTCGGCGACATCCATGCCAGGACAATGATCTGTGCTGTTTCTGGAGAGCCTAACAAGGAGGGTGCACCAGGCCGGTTTGCTACAGGGTCGGACCTCAGTGCATCACGCATGCGCAGCGTGAGCCCCCGCTTGGAGCTGGGTCCTACCCCACCCCTCATCTTAACCATTTTCAGTGACACTTCGAATAGCGAGGACAGTTACGCCGCTGTGCATCCATCCTCACGCTCTGGCCCCGACCTCTCTCTCCGGGCAAAAGTGACTCCTTGCTAAAGAGCGGGACCCCATCCCCCACTCGGCAGCCCCTGTGGCTCTGAGCCTGGATTCAGTCTCTGTTGATTGACTACAACAAGGTCCCTCCCAGGGCAGAACCGGACTCAAGACTGCTTGTGTTTCTGGGCACCCGGCACATGGGATTCCCTCACGCTGGAGCTGGTGACAGGATTCTGTTCTTTCGTCCCAGGTCTGCTGCTCCATGGCTGCTTTTCTGATGCTTCGTAGGCTTCTCTTTCGAGAGGACTTTTTTTCTTTTTTTCTTTTTTCTTTTTAATTTTTATTAGTGAAACACCATGAGGTACAGTTGTAGATTTACAAATTTTTGTGCTTGGGTTTCAGTTATACAATGATCGAGTACCCATCCCTCCACCAGTGCCCATTCACCATCACTGATCCAGTATCCCTCCCACCCTCCATCCCCCCAATCCCACCCTGCCTCTGTGGCAGGACATTCCCTTTTGTTCTCTCTCTCCTTTTGGGTGCTGTGGTTTGCAGAAGAGGCATTGCGTGGCAATCATGTTTGGCCTATAGTCTACTTTCAACATGCATCTCCCATCCTGGATGGATCCTCCCAACACCTTTTATTTGGTCCTCCCTTCTCTATCTGAGCTGCCTTTACCCCTAGAGTGTGTGGCTGGCCTCCAAGTCATGGAGTAAACCTCCTGGTACTTATCTCGGCTATTCTAGGGTGTTAGTCTCCTATTTTGTTACTTTATGTTCCCCAGATGAATACAGTCTTTTTGCGTCTGTCCCTCTCTTTCTGACTCATTTCGCTTAGCATGATACTTTCCATGTATTACCACTTGTATTTTATGCCCCTCAAGGTGGTCTAGCCTTTGAGCATTTCCACGTGGAACAGATTGCCATGGGATTCCCCCCGAATCCTGCCGTTGCTCGTTTGGTAGGGAATCACTTTTCCTGAACTCAGAGAAGGGAACCTGAATTTCACAGCTCTAGAGCTCTCTCTTCTGTTACTTTGGGGGAAGTGTGGAGGTAGACAGTCGCCCACTTTCTGCCTTCGGACTTGGTTCATCTCCGGCTCTTATATTTAGTCTCTCTGGGGTTTCCAGAATTCATGAGATGGGCACATAGCACTCGCCCCAGTCCACACCTGGGCAGTGAGTTTGCAAGTGCCAGGCTTGGCTGCTCTTCTCCTCTGACCCCTGAGTGGAGGGAATGGTTCTTTGTCGCTTGTGTTTTAAGGGGCCCTTCCCAGTGGCATTTAGGGAGCTCAGGAACTATTACCGGTGACTGCCAGAGGGTTTAATACTCACGCCCAATGGAGCTGGGGTCACACCAGTGTCACCCCAGCCAGGATGGGGAGGGGGCATTGCTGTGCCAGGCTTTGAGCTTGAGACCTCACTCACATATGGCAGATATCTGCTCCAGCCCTTGTGACAGCCTCCCAGATCATCTTAGCCCCTTTGGCTGCCACCGAGTGACTCTGCGCTGGGCCTCACACCTGTTCCGCACAGTCTCATAGGTGTTAGCGGGCTTCTGGGGTATTTCTTGCTGTTGTGTTTGGTTTCAGAATTTTCCACCTTGGATGGTGAGGCTGGTGAGATAGTACAACAGGCAAAGAGCTGTCTTTCAGGCAGCCGACCCAGGTCCAGTTTCCCGTAGACTTCCCCAAGCCTCACCAGGAGTGATCACTGAGCACAGAGCCAGAAATAAACCCCGAGCACTGCCAGGGGTGGCCCCAAAATACAAAGCAACAAAACAAAACAAAACAAACAACCCCCAGAAGTTTCCTGCCTGGTTTCTCTCTGCCTCTACTGGGCAATATAAAATCTGTACTGTTGTTCTCTGGTGAAAAGAGGGGTACTCTTCTGCAGAGATGGGGTTTCTGGTGGGAAGGATGGTGAAGGGGATAAGTGGAGGTTTAGAATAGTCACTGACAGGACTTGGAGGATAGATGAGAATCAGGGTGGGCTTGAGGGGGGTGGCGCCAGCCTGTGACTCTGAATGTGGGTTTTTTCCTCTTACAGACATCACCCCAATATCTAGCCTCAGAGGAGTCTGAGAGTTGATCTGGGATTAGAATTAGCACCAGCGTGTTGCCTCATTGGTCTGACAGAAGGCCAGCACGTTGGGTGGCTGAGGTCACTTGGGGTGTGGTGTTCCAGCCCTGGAGTTGGATAGAGATGAAAGCAGGTGGATCGCCCAAGCGGGACATCAGGGCAGAATGTTGATGAAGAAACTGGGGAGGGATGCAGAGGTCGGAGTGAGATTACGGCGGGCAAAGCACTTGTAAGCCTCACAGGCAGCCGACCCAGGTTCAATTTCTAGCACCCCATCTGGTCCCCCAATCCCCACCAGGAGTGGTCCCTGAGTACAGAGCCAGGACTAAGCCCTGAGCACTGCCAAGCATGAATCTCTTTCCCCACCAATCACAATCACGAGCATCCTGTTGTTCGTTGATTTCCTCGAGCAGGCACCAGTAACGTCTCCTTCTTCCTAGCTCTGAGATTTTAAATGAGCCATTTCAATGCTCTTTCAGGATTAGGAGAATGAGACCCATCATTGTTATTGGTATTTGGCATATTGAGTACGACACGGGAAGTTTGCCAGACTCTGCCGTGAGGGCAGGATACTTTCGGTAGCCTGTCGGGTTCTCCAAAGGAAAAATGAGATAATAAGATGCCTTACAGCCGCGAAGTTGGCCGTGTGCTTCCAGGAGCTGGGCTTTATAGTCTCTGCGTCTTGGCCATTGATGAGACCAACCTGGCACTGGCGGCAGCTGGTGGGTGTGACGCCTACCTACTGGAAGATGGGGGGTCTGGTTGGAGAAGGCCCAGTCCCAGTCTGAGTAGGCTTGGAGACCTCAGCCCCGGAACCCGCATGCCTGGTTCCTCTGCCAGTTCTTTCATGCATGAGACCCATCCGAACCTGTGGAAGGTGGTCCCAGCATGGCCGTGGCTGGCTCCAGAGGTCCTCAGCTGCTGGGGCTCTGCTCAGGGCTGGGGGGTGGGGGTGGGGGAGAGAAACTCAACCCTCCACCCTCCAAGGGGCCCCGGTTAGGACAGCCAAATAAACAAATAAATAAAAAGCAGGTGAGTGAGAGGGCTGAGGAGACGTTAGTCAGCCAAGGCTACCCTATCTTTGGTGGGACAGATGCAGGTTTGAAAAAAGGTCCTGAGGGTGATAGTACAGCTGGTAGGGCATTTGCCTTGCATGCGGCTGACCTGGGTTCGATTCCTAGCATCTCATCTGGTCCTCCGAGCACCACCAGGAGTAATTCCTGAGTGCATGAGCCAGGAGTAACTCCTAAGCATCACCAGGTGTGACCCAGAAAAAAAAAAAACAAAAAGAAAAAAAGGTCATGAGCAGACACTGGTTTGTATATTTGACTTTGATTAAAAGTGCTACAGCTTCCTGTCTGAGTCGATGAAAAAGCAGTGAGCAATACTTTAAAATTCAACATTGCCTCCTGCACTTAAGAGCCACAAGTGGAAGCCACAAGTGCAGACATTTTGGAGCCATTGATGGGTGTGAGGGAGCTGGCCTGGCTGCTCTCTGCAGTGGCAAAGCAAGGCTGGTTGGACATCACGTCACTGCTCTGCATTGTGTGTATTTTGCTGGTCACTTAAAGGTCCTTAAGAAAGGGTTGGCAATTCCAAATTTTCTATGCCAGAGTTTCAATGGGTGGAAAGCATTTTTTTTTTTTTTTGCTTTTTTGGGTCACACCCGGCGATGCACAGGGGTTACTCCTGGCTTGCACTCAGGAATTACTCCTAGCTGTGCTCAGTGGACCATGTGGGATGCCAGGGATGGAACCCGGGTTGGCCACATGCAGGGCAAACACCCTACCCACTGTACTATGCTCCAGCCCCAGGAAAGCATTTTTAACAAGCCTTTCCATAATGTCCTTTTAAAGTGAAATATGACAACCTACTGGAAACACTATACTGACTATGTCAGGGAAGTAAAGGGTATTTGTGGAGGAAAGTCTCAAATGACTTCGCACCAGTAAACTGTCAGCTCTGGGGCTTACCATCCTCAGATAAGGACATTTTTTGAATAAGAGTATGTTTAAAAACGAAAGTTGTAACAAAAGGCATAATTGCCTATCATGCTGTTGAAAGTCAGTTTCGCATCTTAAGAATATTGCTTGCCACTAATTTCCATACTGTTTGAATTTAACTGCATAGAAATACAAAAGCAAACCTCAAAAGGCCCCGCTCCTACCCCCATATTGTCAGGATCGTATTGCTAGAGGTGGCTGTAACTTTGTTCATGTAAACACAGATACGAAACAGTGTTTTTAAGTTTAATGTAATTTAATGAGGGTTATATTATATGCTGAAAATAATGGGAATGATTTTGAATCTTTTTTATGAGGGGTCACACCCGGCAATGAACAGGGGTTACTCCTGGCTCTGCACTCAGGAATTACTCCTGGCAGTGCTCAAGGGGACCACATGGGATGCTGGGAATTGAACCTGCGTCGGCTGCATCACTCCAGCCCTGATTTTGAATCTTAAATACCGTCAGGACGAGAGATGAGTTTCTCTGCTTTCTTCTATAGCTGACTTATAGAGAAGATTGTCACGTTGTTCCAGGTTTTATTTTTTTTAATATTTTAAATTTTTTTTAAAAACGTATGGAACACTTCTCAAATATATGTGTCATCCTTGTGCAGGGGCCATGCTAATCTCTGTATCATTCCAATTTTAGTATATGTGCTGTCGAAGCAAGCACTGTTCCAGGTTTTAAAAGTGAAAAATGAAGGGCTGGACAAGAGTACAGCGGTTAAGGTGTTTGCCTTGCACAACCAACCCAGGTTCATGCCCGGCACCATGTATGGTCTCCTGAGTCCCACCAGGAGTGATCCCTGAGCTCAGAGCCAGGAGTCAGCCTCAGCAGAGCACGTGTGGTCCCAAAACAAAACAAAGCAAAAACGTGAAAAAAGGGTCCAAGAGTCTTTTCCAGAAATTCCTGGGCCACACTTCGTGACTGTTTTGTTTGGGTGTGGTGGGTGTTTCAGATGCTGTGTTGAGTGGCTATTGTGAACTTCCCCCTGTTGTAATGGAAGAGATGCTGAAGCATCTTCGGAGTTTAGAATATGACAGTGAGATGTTTTGTTGTATTCAGAAAAAGGATGTTATTGACTTCAAGGAATAGGATTTTATTCCTTCTGCCACACTATACAAATGTAGCAGGCTTTCTTGAGAAATATTATTGAGAATCTGAATTAGAATTTGCTGCTTTTTTTCCCCTTTGGTCGGGGCCACACCCAGTGATGCTCAGGGCTGACTCCTGGCTCTGCACTCAGGAATTATTCCCAGTGGTGCTCAAGGGACCAGATGGGATGTTAGGGATTTAACCTGGATTGACGGTGTGCAAGGCAAGTGCCCTATCCACTGTACTATCACCCCTAGAACCTGCTTTCTCATTCTTGCACCATATCACTTTTACCTTCTTTTTTATTTATCTTGTATTTTGAGTCACTGGTGGTGCTCAGGACTTACTCTTAGTTCAGTGCTCAGAGATCACTCCTGGCAGACCTCAGTGGACTATACGTATGTGGTGCTAGGGATCAAACCAGGGTTGGCTGCTTACAAGGAAGCCTGCAAGTGCCTTATTGTACTGTTGCTCTGGTTCCCCCAACTTTACTTTCTTCCAAAGGGGAGGGACAGGAGCTGGAGCAATTGCACAGCGGGTAGGGCGTTTGCCTTGCACGCGGCCGACCCAGGTTTGATTCCCAGCATCCAATATGTACGGTCCCCCGAGCACTGCCAGGAGTATTCCTGAGTGCAGAGCCAGGAGTAACCCCTGTGCAATGCCAGTATGATCCAAAAAGAAAAAAAAACCCTCCAAAAAACCAAAGGGGAGGGACAACAAGTATTGGCCAGAATCCTGTGTGTCAATTTGACCATTATGTAGGAGAAAAGTTGTCCAGAACTGAATTGGGGCAATTTGTGTCCAGACATATTTGGAGAATACGGTCTCGTGCATGTGCCTCAGTAAAGCAGGAGTAAATATTTGTCTGTTTTTGATTCCAGGAAGTTCTGTGGTGAAGAGACCTGTTTACCCTCAATTCAGCATTTCTCAAATGTCTTAAGACCATGTCCACAAATGTTTCCAGTAATGCAGGGGCAGGAACCATCCAGCTTCTAGGATCTCGAATAAAGAACTGAGTGAGATGTGTGGGGCAGGAAGCACCATTCACAATAGCCAGAATCTGGAAGCAGCCCGGGTGCCTGAGAACAGATGACTGGATAAAGAAACTATGGTACATCGACCTAATGGAATACCATCAGGCTGGTAGGAAGAATCGAGTCATGAAATTTGCTGATAAATGAATGGGCATGGAGAGTATCATGCTGAGTGAAATGAGTCAGAAAGAGAGGGACAGATATAGAATGACTGCATTCATTTGTGGCCTTGGATAGACTAATATCCGAGGCCAGGGAAAACAGGCACCAGGAGGACTGATCAGTCTGGTCAAAGGATGGAAGCGTGTGGGGGCTGGCGAAGGGCAGTTAGGATAGGGAAGGGACCAACATGACAATGATAGTTGGAAATGATCACTCTGGACAGGAACTGAGAGTTGAAAGCAAGTAGAGAGAGATACCTGATAGCCCTTTCATGATCTGTATTGCAAACCATCATGATCACAATCAGGATCATCCTGTTGTTCGTCGATTGCCTCGAGCAGGCACCAGTAACGTCTCCTTTGTCCTAGCCCTGAGATTTTAAAGTGCCATATTCAAGACCCTTTCAGGGTTAGGAGAATGAGACCCATCACTGTTACTGGTATTTGGCGTATTGGGTACACCACGGGGAGTTTGCCATACTCTGCCATGTGGGCAGGTTACATTCGGTAGCCTGCCAGGTTGTCCAAAGTAAGAATGAGATAATAAGATGCCGCTTCTGGGAGCTGGGTTTTATAGTCTCTGGGTCTTGGCCGTTGATGGGATTACATGGTGCCAGGGGGTCAGTTGGTGGGTGAGACCCCTGCCTACTGGAAGATGGAGGATCTGGGTGGAGGATGCTTAGTCTCGATCTGAGCAGGCTTGAAGATCTCAGCCCCGGGACCTGCATGTCTTTGTTCCTCTGCCAGTACCTTCATGCGTGTGAAGAGTGGTTGTGGCTTATGTTGCAAACCATAAGGCCCAAAAGGTGAGAGAGAGTGAGAGAGAGAGAGACAGACAGACAGAGAGAGACAGAGAGACAGAGAGACAGAGACAGAGAGACAAAGACAGAGAGAGAGAAAGACAGAGAGACAGAGACAGAGAGATAAAGACAGAGAGAGAGAGAAAAACAGAGAAAAAGATGAAAAGTGCCTTCCATAAAGGCAAGTGGGCTGGGGTGCGGGGGTGGGGGGAAGAAAACTGGGGTCCTTGGTGGTGGGAAATGTACACTGGTGAAGGGACAAGTGTTAGAACATCATATGACTGAAACCCTATCATGAACAACTGTGCAACTGCGTCTATCACTGTGATTAAAAACAAAGTTTTAAAAATAATTTATTTGGAAGTGAAAAGTATGTTCTGTAGAGCAGAGTGGCCAAGGGTGGCAGGAGACTGGCAAGGGGGAGAGCCCGCTCTGGGCCCAGCACAGCCCCGGCCGGAACTGGGACACATGCTTCGTGTTCTCAGGGTCACTGCCTATTCCTTATTCAGTGCGGCCTGTGCACCTCAGGGCACTTGCCGTGTGGTGTCCATTCATGGGAACTGGTTGTTGGCATGGGTTCTCCCCCACATTTGTCTTCCTTATGGTGCTCAGAATATGGCGACATGGCACTGGCCCGATTCTTTCCCCAAAGCACCATTTCAGTTGTGAGGGTGCCTGGCATGACTCAGGAGTCCCCCTCTTTCCCCTCACCCCACCAGCCCCAGTCTCATCAGCACCTGAGGCCCCATCCACCCTCCCCCTTATCCTTAGGCAAGGGAGCAAACCTGTTTGCTGGCATGGGGTTGTCTGTCTATCATTCCTGGCTATCTTTGCTCCTTGCTGGGTCTGATGATGATCTAGTTTGCCTGGGAAGCCCATTCTTTTCTTACAATCGGGCATCATAGTTTGAAGAAGTATTAAAGTCTATGTTTCTTATTTTGAGGTTTTATACTGGAGGTTCTCAGGGCTTACTCCTGGCTGTGCTCAGGGAACCGTACGCGGTTCTGGGAATGGAATCTGCGTCAGCTGCACACAGGTGAGGACCTAAACCCTTCTACTATCTATTCTACTCTCAGCATCTTTGGGTTTTGTTTTGTTTTGTTTTGGGGCTTTTTAGGTCACACCTGGTGATGCTTAGTGGCTACTCCTGCCTCTGCACTCAGGAATTACTGCTGGCAGTGCTCAGGGGACCATGTACGATGCCGGGGATCAAACCCGGGTGGACTGAGTGCAAGGCAAATGCCCTTTACGCCTAATATCTCCGGTCCTTGACATTGTTTGAGATACGGATATACCACGCATTTTCTTATCAAGTGCCGTGGGCTTGCTCTGGGGCTTACTCAGTGTGTTCAGGGCTCGCTCCTGGCTCTGCGCGTTGAGATAACCACACAGTCACAGCCTTTGACTGGGACACACGCTTCCCATTTTTCCAGGACCCCTGTACTGCTGCCTGTTCCGATTCAATGTCACGGGCTCCCCACGGCATCTGATGGGTCATGTCTATCTGTGGGAGATGGATGTTAGTGCAGGCTCTCTCTCTCTCTCTGTCTCTCTCTCTCTCTGTCTCTCTCTCTCTCTGTCTCTGTGTCTCTTTAACATTTTTTTTTTGGACACACTCAGCAGTACTCAGGTTCCAGGAACTGCAGTCAGCTGTGTGCGAGGCCTGTGTCTCAAGCCCCGCACCATCTCTCTGGCCTCTGACTCACATTTCTTTAATAGAGACATCCAGCCTGTCTCCACTCTGGAGAAGCTCATGTTCTCTCTTGAACACACATTCCTCTCGTTCTCTTCTCTCACACTTATTTCAAGAAATTTCTTTCAACAAGAACTATTTTGCTTAACAACAATAACAAAAAAGCTATCCATCCTGTCTCATGTGGGTTGAATTCTTTTGTTTTGTTTTGATCTCTTCTCATTTTGGCGAAGAGAAGAAGTCTGTGCACATGCGGACTCTGTGGTGAGCAGCTTCCTTATCGCCATGGCAGATGCAGTGAAAGGCCCTGAGGGACGCGTGTGTCAGCGAGGCCCCTGCTGGAGACACGAGCAGTTGACAGACCCTCTGTCGCTCGTTAGTGGCCCATGCAATGTGCTGACCTCACTAGGCTTAAGACTAAAGTAAACAGGCTTCTAAAAAAATAAATTAAAAAAAAAAAGGCAAACAGACTTCTTCGTGTCCAAGGACTTGCTTCTCTGAGCAGGAAAGAGCTAACACAGTATATTTTTTTTTAAAAAAAGTTTGTTTTAGGGTCACATCCAGCAGACCTTAGAGCTTATCTACATTCACTACCAGGCTCACTGTTGGCAGTGCTGGGTGAGGGTGGGAGACACATCCTTTGTGGTGCTGAGGATTATGCTGGGGTCAGCCACGTGTCAGGCAAGTACCCTAGGCCTGAGCTGTCTCTCCCACCCCAGTGAGCTCAGTTTCTCTAAAGGGCTGAGATATTGATGTTTGAGGAACACAATCTTTCACACATGCCCTGAGGACCGAAGGCATGGAGGTGGAGAGGCAGTGGGTGAGGGTACCAGTCAGCAAGTTCTCTGTAGTATTCTCACTTACCTAGACCTGCTGTATGTGGATGTTTGTCTTGTTGGGGAACCCTAGGTGGGTTGGTGAGATCTGGGGGCAAGGGCTGGGGAGCACTTCCAAGCATAAAACCCTGGCAAAGTCACCTTCCCCTGCTACTCCGAAATCTCAGCACCTCTCCATGTGCGAGAGGGTAGTCCAGGACACAGCTCAGAGGCGAGCCTAGCAAGTGATGGGAAGGAAGTTAAAAGCCAGGAGGCAGTCCAACTGCTCTGCAGGATAGAGGCCCACCTGTTGGTCTTCCTGGAGGAAGATGCTGAAGAGCTATGCAGTGTGGACACAGCCCTCTCCCCCCTGCAAAGAGTCCCTGGCCAGGAGTAGGATGAAGTTGGCTCAAATTTTTTTTTTTTCCTTTTGGGTCACACCTGGCAATGCTCAGGGGCTACTCCTGGCTTTACGCTCAGGAATTACTCCTGGAAGTGCTCAGGGGACCATATGGAATGCTGGGAATTGAACCTGGGTCGGCCATGTGCAAGGTAAATGCCCTACCCGCTGTGCTATTGCTCTAGCCCCCCACTCAAAATTTTCTTGAGCATGGCATGGAAGGGGTAGTGCTTTCAAGGGAAGAACAACCCTGTATCCAACCGGGAGCATCTCCCTTTAACTGCCTGTATTCTCAGCTTCCTGATCCACTCTCTCCCTCCCCTCGCTCTAATCTGATCTCATGGAGCAGAGTCGAGCGAGCAGTGCTGGGGAAGGAGTCCAGGCCGCTGGGCGGCAGCCGACAAGAGATGGGACGGTGGCCACCAAGTCTAGATCTATAAATATATTTATTATAATATAACAAGAACTTAACAATAAACATAGACTATGTACAATACCGTTACAGAGAACCCTGTTTTATATCATTCACAGACATCGCCAGTTTGCTCCAGTGTGATCGATGAGGAGAGAAACGGAATTCCAATGTCATCTGTGTCGAGCTGGGTGAGACTAAGGCCTCCGTTGGAGGCAGACGCACGCCCACGCTAACATTAGCCCTGCCCCAGGCAGTTAGAGGTTTGTGCTCCGGTCCATGGGTTCACACTTGCACCCTGTTTGACATAAATACTTTAAATGACATACAATGTATGTAAGTTTTGTGCTTATTACTTTTTTAAAAGAATAAATAATATTAAAAACTGCATAACGAAGCTTGGGATCTTGTCCAAGTGGGAACCATACTTGGAGTGGGGAGGAGGGCCTGACGCTGGGATCAGAAATTTGTGTCATCGAATACTGAGAGGCGGGGTGTGGGGGGGGTCCTGTCCCTCTTCTCCTCACGCATGATGGCAGAAATGATGGCAAGTGGACTTCCGAGATAGAAAAAATGGTGGATGTGTATTTGGTACCAACTTCGACTCAGCGGAGGCGGCGGGGCGGCCTTCTTCTTGCCTGGAACGGGGACTGATCACCGGGTGAGGTCTGAGGGGCTCAGGACTCGCGGGAAGGCCTTTCTCTTTGGAGCCCTGGGGAACCCTCCCTCCTGGCTTCCCTGTCTCAGCTCCGTGGGCTGCGGGCCCAGCTGGCCCGGCTCTTCCAAGAAGGGCTGTCCTCATCCTGAGAGCTCTTGCGGCAGGCGCCTGAATATATAGCTATAAATATCAAAAATAGTCTCCTGTGCTTGGCAGACACGGCCCTCTCTCCTGCTTCCCTCTCTTCCCAGCCAGCCGGCCAGGGGCTCAGCTGGACCTCATGGAGGGAGCCGGGCTGGGCTCACCAGCCAGTACTGGCTTCCTTCTAGAACACAAGCTTCTCTCTTGGACAATGCCTGCGGGAGGCACAGTTTTTATGCGGGGGGAGGGGCTGTTTCGGAGTTACTTTCTCTAAAAAATAAAATGGGGGTGGGAGGAGCGCGCCCTCCCTCCCCCCTCCAGGAGAGGGCCTCTATTCTGCACATAGAAAAATTAGAGCAAGTGCCCCCCCACCTCTGGCACTGCCTACAGAGAGCTGTAGGCGGGGGGACCCCCGCCTTTAGGCTCATGGCCGCCCCCTCTGAGTACTTAAAAATAGCCTTTTGTTGAGCAAGAAAATGCCTTGGAAATCTGAATCATTCATACCGGATCAGAGGAAGCCAGCACTACCCCCTCGTTCTTCTCCAACCAAAACACGGAAAGCAAACCCTGGGAAGGACAGACGGCTGTCCCCAGCTGTCCCCACAGCAGCTGACATGCTCACACACACACACACACACACGCGCACGCGCGCACACACACACACATACGCACACGCACGCAGTGGGCAGCCACTCTGCTTTGTCCTCGTTTCCTCTGGGCCACAGGAAGTGGAGATCGGCTAAAAACAAAAGGAGGAATCAAAGTGGTAAGGACACTTTGATCGTATGTCAAGAGAGCCTGATACCTAATATCGTCCTAGGGGAACTGATCTACGGCTGTGGGGGGGAGCAAGCTTGCTCTGCAGGAAGGAAAAAAACAGCTTCTCTCTCCCAGTTGAAAAATATGTGTAACTCTATTGCACCGGGCAGAGTGAGCGCCTCCGTTGAGAGCAAGTGCCTCGCAGCAACCCCAAGGCCCCGCTCGCTGGGTGGGGGAGGGGGCTCTGAGCCCCCACCGCTATGGACCCCCCGAAGGCGAGGATGCTTGTCTACATTCAATGTAGAGAGGATTCGGAACGTGGCACGTGGGTCCCTCGAGTGTGCGGGTCGGCCTCAGGGGGCGCTGAACGCGGGTCGTGGCGAGTGGGTGGCCCGGGCGCGCTTTCTGCGAATGTCAGCCACTCTGAATGTACTTCTTGATCACCACGCAGCCGTGTCTGAACACAGGGCAGGGCATGTGCGGGAGGAGGGTCCACGTGTTGGTGGTGGGCTCGTAGGCCTCCATGTTGCCCAGGGCAGGCCCCTCGCTGCTCACGATGCCCCCCGTGGCGTAGATCTTGCCATCCAGCACCACCGCGCTGTGAGGAGGGGGGAAGCGGGGAGAGAATTAGCTGCTGGCCCCAGCACAGCCCCAGGAGGGCCGCTTCCCTGACCTGAAGCGGCACCTCTCTCATCCTGCAGTTTTGCCAGGCTGGAGCGGTTGTAAGAAACACCTTTCCGGGGCTGGAGTAATAGCACAGCGGGTAGGGCGTTTGCCTTGCACGCAGCCGACCCAGTTTCAATCCCCGGCATCCCAGATGGTTCCCCAAGCACCACCAGGAGTACCATGAACTCCTGAGTGCAGAGCCAGGAGTAACCCCTGAGCATTGCTGGGTGTGACCCCCCCCCCAAAAAAAGGAAACACCTTTCTTGGGACCAGAGATGGTCCAGTGAGAGTAGAGCGCTTGGTTTGCCTGTGCTTGACCTGGCTTCGATCCCAGGTACCACATATGAATGATCCCTAAACACAGAGGCAGGAATAATCCCTGAGCACCACCACCCATCTCCCACCCACCCCCAAAGGGGACTCCTTTCCTGATACATGCACATGAAACATGCACATGATACATTGCTGAACAGAATCGCCAAGATATGGAAATAATCCAAATGTCTAACTGCTGCCGAATGGAACAAGAACTCGAGGGCAATATACGCAGTAGGATACTAGGCAACTGTACGGAAAGAAGAAATCATGTAAATTGCCTTAATGTGGATGGAACTAGAGAATATCACGCTGAGTGAGGTCAGTCAGGGGAAGGATGGATGCAGAATGATCTCTCAGAGGCGGGATTCACAAACGGACACTGTATGGGTGCAATCAAAGACCAGAGGCCAATACCACCAAGCTGGGGGTGGGAGGCTGGGTGGACTAGTCCTTGGGCAGGGCAGATACTCTGATGGTGAATGTGGTATTGGAACAAACTATGCTTGACACTATTCCTAATGGCCAATCACAGCATCCCAATAAACATGGGGAGAAAATAAAGCCACCTATTGTCAGGCAAAGCAGGAAAGCAGGTGTATTGACCCCCCCAAACTGCAATGAGCCCCTAGGGGCCCTCCTGACATCTTTGCCGCTGGGCTCGCAGCCAGGGTCAGTAGGCAGAGAGGTGGCAGGACAACAGGTCGGATCACCTGTGAGAATACCAGAATCAGCACTTCCAGCGCGGGGGGGGGGGGGGGGGGGGGGGGGGGTAGGGGGGGTTACTATGTCCTTATGAGGGTGTGTCCAATCCCACCAGAGCACATGATCGAAAGTCATGTGAGTGCAGCACTGTTGCCAGAACCGCCCCAGATCCTGACTCCTGTGCCCTAGACATGGCCACAGGGGGTTGCGGTGGGAGATTCTGTGGTTCCTCCTGGCAGCCGCCAAGCTGCCTTCTGGACTTACGAAAAAATGAAGTTTCGGGCCAGAATGATAGTACAGAGGGGAGGGCGTTTGCCTTGTACGCAGCTGATCTGGGTTCCAGCCCCACCATCCCATATGGTCCCCCGAGCACCGCCAGGAGTAATTCCTGAGTGCAGCGCCAGGAGTAACCCCTGTGCATCGCCGGGTGTGAACCCCCCCAAAAAAAGAGGTTTCTGGGGGACACCTAACTTAGCTGTTCCTCTAAGGGCAGGAAAGGGTGGGGTAAGACATCAGGGTCTGCGTCTTACTGCCCGGGGCCGCTGCTTTGCAGATCTCAAGGCCTGATCCCACCTGTCTCTTTCCCAGGGAACCATGGAGTATGTGGGCATGACCCGGTGCAGTGGCCACGTCATGGCCAGGGTCACCACTGCCCTGTGGGGCATCTCCTCTGACCGTGCAGGCCCTTGGTCTCTACCTTGGAGAAGGCGGGGTTGTCCCCAGGAACCCCAGGATTTTGCTTCTGGGGGCCCATCCTGGAGGCGTGAGCTGCCTGGGGCCCAGACGATGCTCTGGGCAGTGGCTAGGGCTCTTCCCCGCCCCCCTGAAGTCCTCCCGCCCCCAGCCCCCCTCACCTGCAGAACTGGCGGGAGTGATTCATGTTGGGGCCCGCCTTGATGTTGCCCTTGTCCGGGTCGTAGATGGTCGTGGCTCTGGCGTAGGCGCCACCCAGTATGAAGACGAAGCCGTTGAGGGTGACGGCCGGCGCGTACTTGTTGTCTGCGGGCAGAAGGGTCAGGCTTTGACCAGGGGAGCCCGAGGACCCCCGGCGGACGGCTCTCCCCTCCCTCCCTCCCCCGTCCGCGCCTGCCCTCTGGCCTTGGGGGTACTGGCTTGGAGGCTAGCAGGGAGGGGGTGCTCGCACCGATCATCGGGGACTCGATGAAGCTCCACGTGTTGGTCTGCGGGACGTAGGACTGGAGGACGCCGGCGGCCCGGCCGGCCTCGTTGACGCCCCCGAAGACGTAGATCTTGCCTCCGCACACGGTGGCGGCCGCCGAGTGCACGGCCTTGGGCAGCGGGGCCACCGCCTCCCACTGGTTGGTGATGGTGTCGTACCTGGGAGACAGAAGACGAGGTGGGGGTCAAGAAGGAGCCTGCAGAGAGCCCAGGGGGCCAAAAGGGCAGACCTGGGAGGCCCTGGCCCCTGTCCCCGCTGCCCTGACACCCAAGCTTGAAATCACACAGCAGGGCCCGGGCTTAGGGGTGACAGCGCCCGTCCAGCACCTGTCCTCTCTCCTGAACCTCAGGGGGCAGCTATTCTGTCTTTGGGACTCTCCCCCGTCCATCAGACCAGCAGCCTCAGCCCCCTCTCCCAGCTCCACCCTGCCCTGCAATCCCCCAAGGACCCCAAGATTGAAACCGCAAGAGGTAGGCGGGCAAGGGTGATAGGAGGGGGAGTCGAAGGACGCTCAGCCATGAACGGGGCACTGCACCGCCAGGAAGGATGTAGGCTTCCTACCTTTCCTGGAAAGGGTGAGGGTACCACTTTGAGGGCCAGGGGACTAAGGCGGGGGGCTGGGGAAGCAGAGGATCCAAGTTTAAGGAGCTGGGGGTGCCCAGCGGATAGCGGGATATCTGGTCTGGATGACGTTTCCCCGTCAGGCTCATTGGCACAGACACAGAAACGGAAAAGAGGAGGCTGAGAAGACACTGGGGTGGGGGCGTGGCCTTTCCTGGGGGAGGGGCTTCAGGAGAGCGGCAACCCCAGTGCGCAGGTGCAGAGAGGTGGAGTGGTCTCATATGCAAGGTGTGGACGACGCCTCTCTACCTGTGGGGCACACGGGCTCCTTAGAGGGGAGCAGCACATGGGGATCAAGAAAGGGAGATGCTGCTAGGCAGAAACACTGCTGAGAAGGGGTGCAGAGAAGGTGGGATCTCAGCAGGTGGGGTGGGGGGAGGGGTCTCGTCCGTGATTGACCGACACCGACCGAGCAAACCAGCTCGCAGGGACAGTGGCATTCGTGGGCTGTGGGCTGTGCCCCTTTGCCTCACCACTCCCAGCCATCGGGGGGCACCACTGAGCACGGACCTGGAAGAAGGGCCCAAGGAGCACTTTCGAGGGTGCTCCCTGCCACTCTGTGCTGGCCGCGGCATACACCCTAAACTAGCTTCCAACAGACAGCAGTGAAACATGACTAAGAAATGAGTTCGGGGAAGCCTGAACTGGAGGTTACCTTTGTTCCGAGCAGGCAAGGTTTGCTGATTTAATTGATCCTAACAGCCGTGACTAGCCAGGCGCTTGGGGGCTTCCTGAGCACTGAACCACGCTCTCTCCTGAGCCCATCTGAACCCGCCCCGGCACATAGGGGATTAGGGTGTGTGTGTGTGTGTGTGTGTGTGTGTGTGTGTGTTGCTTGTACTTACAGGCAGTTGGGAAGGAGCAGGCTGGGGTGGGGCTGGGCTGGGGTCTGCACCCGGAGGGGAGGAAGAAACAGGTCCCTTTGGGCTTGGAGGATGTGGCCACGGAGAAGGACTTGCAGGAAAAGAAGCCCCTTGCTCCCTGAACGGCAAAAGGCAGCAGGAGCCTTGGGGGAAGCCACTGGGGAATGTGGGGTGCTGGAGAGGAGGGGCTCAGACTCTGAAAGCTGTAAAGGGGCCATCTGGTTGCTGCCCATGGCTGTGCACTCCCTGAGAGGAAGCAGAGCTCGAGGTGGCCAACACCGGGGTGCCAGTGCGTGGATTTCCTCTCCTGGTACTCAGCCTCCTTGGGGCCCCCAGGGCTGAATGGAGGGACCCGTGTGCAGCCAGGAGAGGGGGAATCCTGACCCCCAAAGCGGGATCAAAGTGTAGAGACAGGAAGAGCATGAAGTGTGATTAAGCAGATGGAAGGTCTGGGAATGGGGAGCCCCCACCGGCCCGTCCCTGTGTGTGTGGGGGGGGACAGCTTGGACGTCTCTTCTCCTCTCTCAGTGTCTGCTCAGGGGAGGCCGCCTCTGGACCTCTGAGCAGCTGGTGCTACTCCTGCTGGCCGCTGCATCCATGGCATTTGCTGCACCCTGGGGGTGGTTTCCCAGCACCTCTTTCCTGGAGTACACCCCCAACCACCTGCCCACAAGCTCAGTGACCCAGGAAGGTTCAGAGGAGGGTTCCTTCCACGCTGGGGGACTCAGGACCAAGAGGCAGAGAGGGATGTGAGGTGGTCCCCGGGGGGGGGGGGCGCCACTCTTTAAGGCAGCGATGAAGAAGGAAGGAAGTGGCTGCAGAAGGAGCCGGCGAAGGGAGCAGGATGGGGCTGTTAGTCTCCAGGCTTTCGGTGTAATGGCAGGTCCCGCCAAAGCGCGTCTCCCCCGAGCTTGTTATTCCAGGTGGCTGATTGCCAAGCCACCAGCCCTCCATCAGCTCAATCTGTCAGCTTCCGGCTTGAGAAGGATATGCTAATGGCATGCAAATGACCCCGCCGAGAGCCGCTCTGCTGTCATTTACCCCGGCTTCTGGGATGGATGTATTGCTAGGGAAGCTCGGACCCGGTTATTTGTATGATCTAACGCAGGCTGGGCTGTGGTGCTGTTGTTTTCATCCCTAATTATCTCATCTCGCGCTCTTCCTCTAACACCGTAATGGAATATAATGATCCTGAACCAAGGATGGCCTTCATTATCCATAGTGTGGCAGTTTGTACCAGGAAGGTTTCCTGGGGAACAGAGTGCCCTGGTGTCTGTCCCCATTACCCCAACCTTCCCGTCACCCTGAACTTCCATCACCGCCACCACACGGCACCAAACTGGACTTGCCCATGGGGGCTCGGGGTATGGTCTTGGGGGAGCGTGGGGGTCTCTTCCACCTGCACCCTCCACTTGACTGGCACGAGCACCCCTCAGGGGCTTCAATCCGGCATCCCGGCCTGACAGCTGGCAGATCCCACAGCTGAGGAAGGCCCAGTGCTCCCCGAGCAACCCCCCTTCTTGTCCTGAACTGCCCCTCCACACAGGTCGGCCCACCTGGCGCTGAGCTGAGCTGGGCTGCCTGGCAGGCAGGGACTTGCAGCCCGGCCAGGCTGGGGCCGGGAGAACTGGTCTGGGCCCGCAGGGAGTGGAGCTTCTAGCCCCTCTGGGAGCATTTGATCCTCCAGCAAATCCCCGTATTTATCGACAAGCCTAAGTTTGCAAAATGAGTGATCAGGGTCTTAGGAGATTAAAATAGCTGACAAAAGCAAGGCAGGCCGGCGAGAGGGTTCAGTCTGCTCCTCAGGAGAACACTGGGTCCCTGTGCCTGAGCTGCTGCTGATGGGCATGACAAGTGAAAGGAGAAAGAGGGCCTGGGAGGCGTGGCCAGTGGCTTCTCGGTGGTTCCCACTGAAGGCCGTCCGCCCTGGACTGACCCACTCTGAGTCAGCATTCGTGTCGCCTCGATTGGCCAGGGGTTCCCCATCAACCTCCCAATCAATGTGACAATTAACTGTTGTTAGCAAGCATCACCAGGCTCCACTTGGGGGAGTTGAAGGCCCATGGTGAACATCCAGAGCCCGACTCACTCTGAAGCCAGCTCGCTGTAACATTTGTCAAGTGTCCAATTAGCCACCAAGGGAAATATATAAATCGAGGGGCCCACGCGGCTCCACAGGCAGAGGCTGTCACAGGAAGATGAGCGTCGGGCAGCTGATGGCGGGTCGGGGAAGCGGGCCAGGGTATGGCCAGGATGTGGGGACGGGGCGCTCCCGAGAACCCCCGGGCTTAGAATTGGGACCCGATTCAGCAGGACTCGTCTTCCTTATGAGTTTGAGTTGTGAGTTTGTCCCAAAGCATATCCGCTTCCCCATCCAGTGCGACCCCCCCCCCGAGGTTCCCCGAGCTCTTTCTGCCCTCGATCCCCAAGGTGTCTGTCCTCGTGTCCTGCTCTTCCCGGCTCTGCTCTTCCTGCCTCTCCCTGACTCCCTGCAGGAGTGCCCCCACTCAAAGGGAAAGACGCAGTGTTTCTCAGCGCTGGAGGGATAGTTAGCTCAGAGCTGAGCATATGCCTGCATGCAAGAGGGGTGTCTGATCCCCAGCACTGCCCAGTCCCCCATGCACTGCTCTGGAGAGATCCCAGAGTCGCGGGATACCCAAGAACCAAGTTGGTAAAGAACTATTTCCTTATTTCCTGCTGGCGATGTGCCCACTCCTGCCTGCAACCCGGCCCCACTCCCCCTGCGACATTGTATGTTTGTTTGTTCTGGGGGCCACACCTGGCGATGCTCAGAGGCTACTCCTGGCCCTGAGCTCAGGAATCACTCCTGGTGGTGCTCAGGGGAACCTACCCAGTGCTGGGATCGGACCAGGTTGGCTGTGTGCAAGGCGAGTGAGCACACGCCCTGCTGTTCTATATAGCTCTCCAGCCCCATTGTGTGAGATTTGACAGTGGCACCAGCAGGGGGCAGCAGACGAGCGTGGTGCTGGGCCCCTTTGGTTTCTCTTCTCAGGAATTTTAGGTGGGGGGCAATGTCCCAGACACACTTCCTCTCAGGGTTGGCTACCTCCCTGGCAGGGACACGGAGGCGGGTGGGCTGGGAGGCAGGGGTGGGGGTAGGGGAGGTCCATGGCACACACATGACCTCTGCTCTCAGCAATGCCCCAAGTGTCCCTAAGTATCTAGGCTGGGGCCTGTACTTGGGCTGCTCCTGAACTGATGTCAGGAAAATAGAGCCCCTCCTCAAATACACACACACACACACACACACACACACACACACACACACACACACACAGAGTCTGGGCACCTTTCCGGCCTCTCCCCTTCTGGAGTCTGCTAAGTGTCCCCAGTGAGTCGGAGCTGGGTGGGCGCTGGGATGGGGAGCCGCGTGCTCTAACCTTGGGGACTGTCAGGCTGTCCCCGTGACCTCATTACCTCTCCACATGGTCCACGTTGCCAGCCGCGCCCAGGCCCCCGAGCGTGTAGATCTTCCCGTCGTACACCAGGCTGTTGTGGCGGCAGCGGGGGACGGTCATCCTGGACACGAGATTCCAGCTGTCCAGCAGGGACATGTAGCACCAGACGTCGGGCAGCGCCAGCCCCGACTCCATCCCACCTGCAGGTACAAAGGGGGCAGCATTGGTCTGGAGGGCACAGAAGGAGCAGGGCCCAGCCCCGCCACTGTGGGAACTTCTGACCAGGACCTCTGGGGACCTCGGGAAGCCCGTCCGTCCACCCGCCTCACCCCCCAGCACCTGGGTCTCACCTGAGAGGTAGATGTTGTCCCCGGCACTCACGACGCTGAAGAACTCGCGGTCATAGAAAGGCAGAGAGGCCAGGGGGTACCACTTGTTGTTTTGGGGGTTCCAGCAGGTGACGGCCACCAGCGAGCGCTGGGTCATCCCCACCATCTGACGGCCACCGACCAAGACGATGACCTCGGCCACGCCTGCAGGGACATACAGGGGCACAGTCCGCCCGGGGGCCTCCCCAGCCTGCACCCCACCCATTTTGGGGGGCTGGGCCGGGGGCTACCTGCCGAGAGGCGCGGCCGCGTGCGGGGCGTCTGCATCTCCTGGCGGGCGTGCGGCAGCATGTGGTAGCGCTTGGCCTCGTTCACCAGGTCCCGGCACGCCTCGGACGACTTGATGAGCTCCTCATTGTCCACCACGTTCAGCAGGTAGCTGGGGTGGATGAAGGGCAGCCGCACCACGGCCAGCAGCTCGGCGGCGTGCTGTGGGGCCAGGGGACACACCTGCTCAGACCACAGAGGCCACATGGGCTGGTGGTGTAGACATCGCACAGCTGGCCGAGGGCGTGGGGTGGGCATGAGGGGGGGTGCGGAGGGGACTGGGCTTGTGGGTCACTGGCCCAGAAGTGACCCATTCATCTCCTCCCCCTGCACCAGCTATAGTGGGCAAAAGGCCAGGGCTCTGCTCCAGAGAGAGGGGAGCATAGAGCAGGGATGGGGACCCCATGAGGGGTCAGCGTGGGAGGAAATGGGGAGCTGTGAAGCCTGGCTGGGTCTCTCCAGCACCCACCACCTTCTTTACTTTTTGTTTTTCTTTTTAGGACACACCCAGAGATGCGCAGGGGTTACTCCTGGCTTTGCACTCAGGAATTTCTCCTGGCGGTGCTCGGGGGACCCTATGGGATGCTGGGAATCGAACCCGGTTGGCCATGTGCAAGGCAAATGCCCTGCCTGCTGTGTTATTGCTCCAGACCCCCTCTTTACTTTTTTACTGGTTTTATTGATTTTAATTTTTGTGGGCTCTAAGTACTTAAAATTTTGTTTGTTTTTGGGGCCACAGTGGGAAATGACTCAGGAGTTACTCCTGATTCGGCACTCAGGAATCACTCCTGGTGAACTTGGGGACCCATGCGGGATTCTGGGGATCAAACCTGGGTGGGCTGTGTGCCGGGCAAGCACCCTCCCTGCTGGATTATTGCTCCGCCTCTCCCCCCCTTTTAAAAAGTGCTGTCCATGTGTAATGAGGGTCCACTGCCTCCCCTGCCACTTGATCCCATCCCCCACAATGAAAGCCTTTCATGCCAACACCATTCCTACCCCTGCCTGGCAAATCTGCCCTCACTCCACCTGAGCTTCACCCACAGATAACAGGTGGTTACTCAGAGCCCCATGTTTAGTTCATGATTAGGGGGGTCCCAGGCTGGACCTCCTGGTGTCCACGGCTCAACTGCGGGGCCGGGGGGAGGGTCACCTGAAAGACAGAAGTGAGGCCCAGAGAGGCAGTCGGGCTGGGGAAGGGGGTGCAGAAGGAGGGGATGCCCAGGCCGTGTGCACGGGAGGGCGGGCACCCCAGCAAGGACAGAAGGTGGAGCCCGGAAGCGCTTTCAAAGCAGATGCGCTGCACGGAGGCAGGGGGTGGGGTTTTTTTTTGGGGGGGAAGGGGGAGCGTTTAGTGGACAGTGAGAGACAAGAACCCCAGGGGTCCCCAGGGTTTTTGGTCTTTCATGCCCAGTGGACCAGGGAACTGGCGGGAGAAGGAGAAATCTCAGAATCAGACACATGTGATCAGACACATGTGTGAATAAGGCCACTCAGAACAGTGCAGAAGTGAATGTGGAGGGTGGAGCAGGAGGGAGGGAGCCTGAGATGGGGGAGAGAGAGAGAGAGAGGAGAGGGAGGGGAAAGAGAGACAGAGACAGAGGCAGAGAGACACACATAGAGACAGAGAGAGAGAGAGAGAAAAGAGACAGAGAGACAGAAAGAGAAAAGAGACTGAAAGACAGAAAGAGAAAAGACAGAGAAAGAAAAGAGAAAGAAAGGAGAGAGAAAGAAAGGTGGGGCAGGTGGGAGGGAGGGCGGGACTGGGTGGCCGAGTGGACAGGAGAGGTGGTTTCTCTCTTGGGTCAATGAACCCAACAGTGAGGTCAGAGGTTTACGCCTAAGAGAGGCTGGGGGTGGGGACTGGGGGCTGGAGGGTGTCTGTAGACTGTCAGAGGCCAACACCTAGGCGGGGAGACAAAGCAGGTGGGCATGTGCTAGGGGCTGGTGGTCACTGTCACGATCCCCTGTCTGCCTCGCTCTGAAAAGTGGGTTCTGTTCCCGCCACCATCTCTGACCAAGCAGTGGCCTCAGGGTTCGGGTTAGGCCGAGACTGTCTGCGTCCTGCACCCTCTCTCCAGCCCCGGCTCACCACCCCCACCCTTTCTTACCCCTACTAATCCTGCCCCCGCTCTGTTGCCCTGGGTTCCAGCTCTGTTTCCCCTATAGCTGGTACACACCGCGGCGTCCCACCTGGCCCAGCGCTATCTACCATCTGCACCACCCTCCAAGCCTGGGCACGGCTGCGGGGTTGCCCTCCCGAACCTAGCCCAGGCACCTCCCCATGGGGCCCTGGTGCGGCTAGCTTGGCCCTGCCAGCCCCAATGGCTGCTGTGGTGTCCATGGCTCATGTCAGTGGCCACATCCCTTTGCTCAGGGCTCCCCAAATCCCTTGTGCTGGCTGGACCAGAGGGTGCCGTCCTGGGGCCTTGTCCTCCCTCCCCCCGCCCTCTTGCTCCACACCCGCCCCCACCACGGGCCCTGCCTGTGCGCGGGACGCGGGGTCCTTCTTGATCCACTTGATGACGGTCTCGTACACCAACTCCTCGGCCTTGGTGTTGAGGCTGTCGTTGGAGATGTAGGCGATGAAGTCCTCCTTGGAGATGCTGAGGATCTCATCCTGGGCCGCCACCTCGGGGAAGATCTGCAGCGCAAACGCTTTGGCCATGTGGTAGAGCTCGCTGCACTGCATGGCCTCGGCCATGGCCAGCACGCCCAGGCAGTTGCTGGCCGTCAGCTGCTTCTCTGGGGGGTGAGAGTACAGGGCTGCTGACCACAGGGCCCCGCAAGGACCTGTCCCTCTGCCACCTCGCAGGTGTGTGTTCTTGGGCTGCCCCCATACCCCTAGTCGAGAGCCCACTTCTCCCCAGCCCCCCCAGAGTCCTGACTCAGGCTGATTCTCCAGGGCCGCATCCAGTAGAAAGCCAGGCATTGTGGCTACTCGCTGTCTGGAGTGGAGGAGGTCCAACCCTCAGTGCCACACATGCCTGAAGCTTCTGAGGCCTTCCAGAAGGCAACTCTAGAGCCAAAACAGCCCTTCACAGGCCACCTATCAGCTCCGAGGGGCTCGGCTGCACCCAGTCCATCTGGGTCCCTTGAGATACTGGACGGTGACGCACGTGGTCCTTCTGCCTATCCATCCCCCATTGCCCCCCCCCTTTTTTTTGTTTTTTGCTTTTTGGGTCACACCCGGCAATCCACAGGAATTACTCCTGGCGGTGCTCAGGGGACCATATGGGATGCTGGGAATCGAACCTGGGTTGGCCGCGTGCAAGGCAAACGCCCTACCTGCTGTGCTATCGCTCCAGCCCCACTGCCTCCTTTCATAAGTCAAACTCCGATCTGGCTCTTGACCTCAATCAAGGCTCGGCTCTTGGGTCCCCTCCTGGCCTCAGGTTGTCTCCACTGGACCTGCTCCCTACCCTGGGCTCACCCCCATTTCCTTTGCTCACTGCATACCCAGGTTCGATTCCTCTGTCCCTCTCGGAGAGCCCGGCAAGCTACCGAGAGTACCCCACCTGCACGGCAGAGCCTGGCAAGCTCCCCATGGCGTATTTGATATGCCAAACACAGTAACAACAAGTCTCACAATGGAGATGTTACTGGTGCCCACTCAAGCAAATCGATGAACGGGAGGACAGTGTGCCAGTGCTACAGTGCATTGCACACCCCAGATTCTCACCCTCCTGTGCCCTGCTCCCAGCACTGGCAGCTCTGACCCCGAGGCCCAGCCTCTGGAGGTGCCCCTTACTCAGCCCCAGCCGGGGCAGTCGGGCTGGACAGTTCCCGTATCTCTACAGTCTACCAGGGAGTTCAGGCTGAAGGGGAAGAAAGGCGGGGTCCCCTTGACTCAGTGTCCAGAGAGCAGCTCCCTCCTCCCCCCCATGCACATATCGAGTGCAGGGCTCATGTCCTCCCCGAGTCATTGGGGTCCCGGTGCCCTCTCCCACTCCCAGGGGAGCAAGGCCAGGGTTCCACTCTGGGTAGAACCACTGTCCTGGATGCCCTGGGTGGGACCCCCATGCCTGGGCTGTCTCCCCTACTTCCCACCTCATCCCGGCTCCCCCAGCTCACCGAGGAAGGACACACAGACTCTGCAGAAGGTGTGAAACTGGAACTTGCTGGCCGCCTCCAGCAGCGTCTTGGCGTTGGCCGAGTCGATGACCAGGGAGCCGGTGTAGACGAACTCCAGCAGCAGCTCTAGGACGTTGGCCTGCAGGTTGGACAGGACGAGCTCCAGCTTCTCCCGGCCGGCCTGGCCGCCGTCCTGCACGGACCTAGGCACAGAGAGCAGGCTGTCCTCAGTGGGCGCCCTGTGGCCCCGGCCACCGCCTCCTCACCAGGGCTCGGCCACCCGGCTCGCCTCGGGCGCACCCTGGGAGCCTCGGACTCAAGGACACGCCAGGACACACCTGAACCTACCCACTGGCCTAGGATCTGCAAGAGAAGAAGAGCCTGACCAGAGACGCCCCCAGAGAACAGAAAAGCCCTGCTCAGTGCTACTCGCCATGTCCATGCAAAAAAAACCAAAGAGGCAAATCAAAAAGCATGAGCTGTGGATGGGGACGAGGACCAGGACGGCCTCAAAGGGAAACAATACGACCAGCCCCGCCGGCGGCGGCCCTGCGTCTCCCCCAGCTCAACGGCGGCTGCTCCTGGACCCTGGGGCTTTGGGGGGTTGGGGGGCCACTGCTGGGAGGTTCCCCAGCGTGACAGAAGCTCCCAAGCGGCCGTGATCACAGCCCATCCGAGACTCGCTCGGATCACCCCAAAGACAGAGGGCCCTCACGTGGTCCCGGAAGCCCGACTCCATCCCACCTCTTATCCAAAAGCATATTGTTTCCTTTTAGGCATGGAAAGGAAGCCCTTCATGACATTGCTGGGAAACTGAGGACGAGACGAGATAGACGGACAGAATGGTCAGAGCCGGGAGGAGGGGAAGGGCAACACCGAGGACTTCCGCCACAGACAGCCAGCAGCCATGACTGGGACCTGGCCCGGGGGTGGGCCCCTGCCACATGGAACACGGGGTCAGAGGTCAGAGGGGCCCTGCGTGTAGAGTGTGCATGGGGCTGGGGGTGGGGTGGGGGATGGGGGTGGGGAGCAGGGGGAGCAGGGGAGGGACACAAATATATCCATATGTTTGTATCTGGTGTCTACGGAAATACAAAACCATTGCCAAGGCTCCCAGGGTCGGGCGGCCGCGCCCGAAAGTCGGACCTGGAAGGAAACAGATCAGATGAAGCAAGATTCGCACCCAGAGGAAAGAAGCCCGGCACGGTCAAGAGGCGGGCTCCTCGAGGCCAGCAGCTGGGCACCCCGTCTCAGCCCTACTCTCCAGGCCTGCTTCTTGCTCTTAGCTTGATCCTGTCTAAGACCTCTGCATAGCCCCTCTCTGGGGCGGGGGCGGGGAGGGCGTGCCTGGGACCAAGCCCCTTGTGGCAGGGTCCCCGGGTGTCACGAGGCATCTGGTCCAGAGAGGGGCCGACTCCTATGTGAACAGGAGTTAGGGGGCCTGGGAACCCGGCTTGGCCCTGGAGAGTAGGCCCGCCCTGGCCACTCAGGCCCTCTAGTTCCTTTTCTGCAAAACAAGAGGATGGCTATGGGGGGAGCGTGGGGAGAGCCCTGGAGAGCTTCCATGACAAGCTGCAAGGCGCCCGTCCTACACGCGTGTTCTCCACGCCGCAGAGCAGGGTACTCTCAGCTGAGGCGCTGGCATCAGGGCCCTGAGGACTCAGAGAGCACCGGGAAAAGAGGGACAGTGGTGACCTCACTGCCTGAGCAAAAAGCTGGGAGGCCTCCTTCCTGACGGCTCCTCTTGTTAGCAGCCCAAAGGGTCACTTTGCCTCCAAGCCCTGGCCTGTCCAGAAAGCTGAGGAGAAGGAGCTGGCTAAAGAGAGGGGCTCTGAGGACCCCTAAACCTCTGCCGTGAGGATGGATTTCTATCCTGGGACTACTTTAAGCGTAAGCATCAATTGTTACACAACAATCACAGAACTCCTCAGCCAGCCTCAGGGGCCATCTGGTCAACCTCTCCTCCAAGTCTGTTCTGTCGCTGCATTTACCCCACATGGCTTCTGGCCTTTCCTTCTTCCTGCACTGGGGAGGTCATGCCAGGAGGAGGGCTGCTCACCTCTCTGGCCAGCACCTCGGCCGCCCAGTCAGGTCAGCCTGCCTGTCTACCTCCACCGCTCTCTGCAGAGAAGCAAGAGCTGCGGGGACTTCAGGATGTGTGTTCCCATGACTACATGCATGAACACATGCACACATACATGTCCACATGTGCACACACACACTCACACACGCAGCAGCACATATGTGCACACACAGAGTGCACTTCGGGGTCTGATGGGCCAGCATAGCTGCCCTGTGGGGAGATGCTCGTCTGGGCTGAGGTGATGCTGGGGACCGTGCTGTCCCAGGGGCTGTCCCGTTATCCCTGTGTGGCAGGGCTGAGGCTCTGGGCGGGGGGTGGGGTGGTGTTCACAGAGAGGACGGGGCTCACACAGGGTGTGTGTCTGGGGGTTCTGCAGAGTCCTCGGGAAAGCCAGGGTCTGTGAGTGACATGCTCAAAGCCCTCCTGTCCACAGAGGTGGTACTAGGCGGTCACAGAGCCGGGCCCCTTCCCTCGGTGTAGGGGTCTCCTGGAGACACCCCTTCTGTCCTGGGCTTGACCACGGTGTGCGGTTCCAGTCAGCCCCTGGAGGTGGCTGGGCAGCCTTGCATCAAAGAGAGTAGTCCCCGCCCCCCTGAACCCGGCTCCTAGTGGGTGGCAGCACTGGGGTGCAGGGCAGATTGGGGTGCTGCCCAGACTTCCAGGTCTGCTTCCCAAGAGGGGTTGTGAGGACATGGTAGGGCCCTGAGTCTTGGGCCCCTCCCCTGGGCTCAGCACCTCCCCTCCCCTGCAGAATCTCCTCATTTTGCAGGATGGGAAAGTGAGGGGTGTCACAGATCAGGTGATAAAGGGTCTGCGCCCTGGTGCTGCTCCAGAGGGTGGCCTACCCACACCCGGTGGGGCGGACCCGCACCCAGCACCATGCAGGCAGCCTGGGGAGGCAGGACTTCAGTGCCTGGGCCAAGGAGGGTGGGGGTGACGGTTCACGTTTTTATCTCTGTGATAAGCAGCCAGTGCCCGAGGCAGGTGCGCGCAACTGACCAGCGGGCAGGGAGCTGTGCGCATGCGCAGCTGTCTACCCAGCCCGGGATCGACTTTAGGCCGAAAAGTCCCTGGCCTTGAGCTTCTTCGGGAGAGGGAGGCAATAGAGGGAGAAGCCCGGAGCTCAGTCCTGAGGGTGCTCGAGAAAACCAAACAGGCCAAGTTTGTCCACCCGCTTTCATGCAAGAGGGTAGAGAACAGCGTCCAAGTGTGGGGCAGGCTCCCCGGGTGGAAAGTTGGGGTCTCCGCGGCCAGGCGCTGCGAGGGGGCAGCTCTCTCTGCTTTGTCCTTCCTCCATCAGACTCGAAAGTATGTCTGAGCGGGAGCGCTGTAGACACGTACCTTCTGGAAGGACCAGCTAGTCTCCTGTCCTCTCTGTTGCCGGTGCCCAGTGGGCCCAGCCCTGTGGGGCCCACCCAGCCCTGAGGGCTCAGCGCCTTGGGCTGAGTGAAGGGATGTGGAGTGGCGACCTGGGGGCTCTGTCACTGCCCTCCCCTCTGCGGGAACCATCAGGGTCCCCCCACCTTCAGCAGGACAAGGCCCTTCTCACTTGCAGATCAGCTATGGGCTTCTCCCTTTGTCAGCGCAGTGCAAAGTGACAAGAAGGTGGGCGGGGCTTTTCCTGCCCTGGCTGCTCTGAGCTTCCAGACACCCCAAAGGATGTGCCTCCACAGCTTCCTGGGCCTCCAAATTCAGCCTGTGACTTAGGGATCAGCGGGAGCAGACCCATGGGTCAGTGCACTGTGTACAGGCACACTCCGACACACACCACACAGACACAGATATACACACAGACAAGTGCACACACAGTCACACACAGATGCACAGAGACCATACACAGGCACAGACACACATCCACACACACACAGACACACATCTACACACACAGAAACAGATAAAATTGATACACACAGATGCATGTCCACACAGACACATCCACACACAGACATGCACACAGATGTGGGCACACGCATATGCGTGCGCGCGCACACACTCACACACACACACACACACACACTGTGCCCCTTTGCACATGTGCCCCTACTGTGGACCCTGAGCTCTCACTTTCCTTCCTCACATTCTCTGGCTACAAACCACACTGCGTTTCAGTTCTTCTCAGGGGGTAGCAGGAGCTGCGTCTCATCCATGGCTACTCCTACAGCTTTGGGTCACAATATTGCCTCTGTGCAGTGGGGATATGAATGGCCTCAGCCTTGCGGGACAGCAGGAGGATTTTTGGGACACCCATGGGTTGCGTCTTATCCTCATCTGAGGAAGATGATGAGTTGGAAATAAAATCAAGGAAGAATGCGGGAAGAAGTTACTACTGCGTTCCCAAGATACGGACATGTGGAAAAGTGGGGATTGGCTGGGAGCCAGGACACGAAGGCAGAGGGGCACAGTGTGACCATGGCTGGCGGGCAGGGGGCCGCTGGTCGGGAGAGAATGCTCCGAGTCCTGCTTCCCCACTCACAGCCTGCGACATCACACCCAGCAGCCCCAGCTTTGTGGGATCCCATCCTGCCTTCTGTGCCCTATTCCCACCTTCCCGGCCACAGAGAAACAGACTCACTCAGCCTGGCCACTGCCAGGGCCTGCCCTCTGTCTGTGTACCTCTGCATGTCCTCTTTGCTCTCCCAGATGCGGGGTCTCCTCTAGCAGATGTGGGTGCCCTGAAGGCTGAGACTCCCCCTCCTCCAGCTCCAGGGGCTCTGGCCTCTTTCCCTCGCTGAGTGGGGAAAGACTTGGCTTCCTTCTGGCTGTCCTGGGGCTCCCTAGGAGGGTGTCCACTGGTCATGTGCCTTCCTACTGGAGGGGGAAGACCCCAGCCTCAGCCATCAGCCTTGGAGGGGCTTACCAAGGCCCTTGGGAAGGTCAGGAGCAGTACGCTATGTCCCCTGGGGACACACTCCCTCTGTGCATGCCGGCATGGCCACAGAGAGCAAAGAGCAAGGCCTGAACTGTGGGCTCAGGGGACAGGACCCCACCTCCCAGAGAGGTCTAGGGATAGCCCTGGCGGCTCATGGACCACTGCGAACGGGATATCCTCAGGGACTGTCCCAGAGGGGAGCATCCCCCCAAACAGGTCCTGCTGTCCTTCCTGCAGTGATTGGTGGGGAACTGTAATGTGTTCCCAGGGTCAGGATTGGGGGGAGGGGCACAAAATGTCATGTCACTGCGTGGCTTCCCCTGCTTCGAAGAAGAAGCCCCTCCTCAGGCTTGGTTTGATCCATGTGGGGGCTTCAGATCCCATTCATCGGACACTCTCTCCAGCAGCTCCCCTGCCTGACGCCCTGCCCTGCTCTGTGTGCCTGCCTGGTGCTTGGCTTGGGAAGTCTCTCCAGGGCTGGCCCTGCTCATCCCCATATGGACCCTGAAGAGGTCGGAGCTGGACGGAAACCATCATTTGAACCACGAGCTTCCTGTTTCACAGACGAGAAACCCCAGGCCTGAGAGAGGACGGGACATACCTGGAGTCCTATAGGGCCAGCGCAGAACCCAGGCCTTCTAGCTCCCAGAGGGCCCCTCTCCTCCAGACTGCCTCTCAGCCTGGCACCCATTTTCTCTGGTGAGGGCCTGTGAGGTATGTGTAACAGTTCTGCCAACTTTAGGTGAGATCCCTGTCTCGCTCCCCGTCATGGCCCTCAGAACCTCAGACCAAGTTGAGGATTCTCGCCCCCAACTCATACTCATTTCTAGGTAGGCTCTCTCTCATCACTCATACCTATCTCTGTTTAAAATCTTTAATTCCAAATAACCCATTGCTTGCCTGGAACATTCCAGAATATTCTAGAACATTCCTTGTATTCCAGAATATTCCAGAATATCCCCTGTCTGAAAGGAAGAATTTTTTTTTTTAAAGTCTGTCCAAGCACCTTTCCCTACCCTAGACTCCCCCCAACAGTGTCCTCTTCTCTGTAAGGAGTTTGGCTCTACCTACAGTCTCTAAAGATAATCCAAGCATTCTTGTGCTCTTCCTGTCTGTGACTTCCTAACCCAGGGCAGAACCATCATTCCATATTGACTTGACCCTGCATCCTGTCCACTCTCCTCTCCAGCAGGTCTGGAGCAGGGACTCCAGGGCGCTACCTATGCAACCAGTGGCACGGGGTTCCAGAATTTGCCCAGAGTGGCAGCACAAAGACCTCCCTTGGCAGGAACAAGCCCCTGGACATGCCCCCTTCACCCCAGAGCTCATGCCCCAAACCCTGTGCTTGGACAGCGTGCACCCAAGCACCGGGGGTGGGGGACCTGAGCTGTCCACAGGCTGGAAGTCACAAAGAGCCTGCCCCTTCCTGCACGGCAGGGGCCAGCACGGCTGGGAGTGGCTCGCACGCCGGCAGCTCAGCTCTAAGTGAAAGGACACAACGGATTGGAAAGGAGATGCCAGCCAGGGTGCCATCCTGAAACAAAACACAGTCACTCTGGGGTTAGTTGGCAAGTCCAAACACGGCACTGGGGAGCCAGCGGAGGTCCTGTCCTCCCACTCTGAGCACAGTCCCGGCTCAGCGTCCGCCCCGGAGAGGCTGCAAGGCAAAAGGAGCAGCGGCATTAATCTGCTGAGGGGTGGGAAAAACAGGAGCGTTCCCTGGGCCGGGCCCTCGCTGCTCTCCCTTCTCTAAGGAGCTAGAAGGTGGCCCTGACTCTTCTTCGCAAGGGGATGAAGCAGACAAATTAAAAAAAAAAAATCAACGTAATGGAAAAAAAAAAAAGATGTTCATGCACCATGAAGACTCATTTGGGTAGAAATAACCAGGGATGAGGGCAGAGGGGAGGGTGCCAAGACCGCGCCAGGCCGTGTTTAGGACACGCTTGGCCTGTGCTCAGACACCCCAGCGTCAGCTCAGTGTGTGCGCGTGTCGAGAAAGGCACGGGAATGAGGCTTTGGCTACGAGGCTCTTGGCCACTGGGGCTGGGTCGTGGGAGAGCTGGGACGGGGAGCAGCTGGTCGATGGGCTTTCCTGGCACTAAGTTCACCATCGACCGCAGGAACGACGGTGCCAGGGACCCTGTGCTGGCCCGGTGTGGGGGCAATGTGTAGTGGCTTTTGGGGGGTCTGCAGTCCTCTGCCTCTCAGGGAGGGCTGGGGAGCCGCTGGGAGTCAGGGTGGGCCCATGGGGCAGGGCAGGGTGGTTTGGGGGGCTCTCCTGCTGGCAGAGAGCCCTGGGCCAGTGCAGCATTTGGGGGCGGGGGGCAGCGGCTCTGAGCCTGTGTGAGCGGGAGGGGAGGAGGAGGAGAGTTGGCTACTGGCTCTGTGACAGGGAGTCACGCTTCAGGAACCTGCAAGAGAGGGAAGGAGAAAAGCGACATACAAGCGTCCTACAAAGGAACAGACCCGAGCACAGCTGGAAGGAGGCAAACCTTTGAATCAGGTCCTTGAAATACAAGCTGCAGGAAGCTAGAACATTTTGGTGGACTTCAAACTCTCTGCCTTCAACAACAATTTTCAGGTCTGTAAACGCTTTCGCTCTGCGCTGCTGGTTCAATTCCTTCAACATTTCTGCAGAACAGAGAAGACAGACAGGGCCAGGTTCCCATTAAGAGTTTTTTTTTTCTTTAAGTTTTTAAATTATTTTTTATTAATTTTTTTCCCCAAGAAGTAGAGGAAAAGGAAAATACTTGATACTGTTTCTTGGCAAGAGTGGGTCTACAACTGACAGTCCAGAGAAAGCCTCTCACACACACACACATACACACACACAACGCGTGAACAAACAGCAACCGGACGGGCCACAGAACCAAAGGAATCATGACTCTTAGAAGCAAAAATAAAAAACAAAAAACCACACACACACACACACACACACACACACCCAAAAAACCAAACCAAACCAAACCAAAAATCACAGCCACCCAACAATGAAACTAAAAAACAAATCCCAAAGGAAAAATTATCAAACCCAGAAATGGGGAGGTCAGGGTGGGCGTGGGGTGTGGAGGGAAGGTCCCACAGTGACGACTGGAGACATGAAGAGTACATGATCGCAGACAACTGACAACCCAGCCCCACGGACCAAGCTCTCCCGGTGCCAATGGTGCCGATGCAGCGATGCCAGGGACAGCATGGCACTGTGATGTCACATGGGTGGACATGGGCCAAAGGAGGCACAACCACAAACCCTGCAAAAACAGCCACACATGGGCCAGCTTCAGGGGAGACCCTCCCCCCAGAAAGCACGCATGGAGCGGGGCCGCTGAGCCATGGCCTTCCATCTCCCACTTCCGGGCTGGGGGAGAAGCACCCAGGGGCAGTCTGGAGACTCCTATTTCCGGGATTATTCTTGTGGGGAGAGGGGGCGATTTGCAACCCCAGGCGGTGGCCTCCGGGATTGCCTCGCCCTGATTTGCACCTACCTTTGCCGGGTGTCCTGGCCATCTGGGGCTGTCCCCCAATCCCAGCCAGGGCCCTGACCCTGGGGAGCCAGAAGCTTTTCTTAGCCCCCGCTACGTGTTCAGAATGGGCGAGGGTACGAGTCACCCTACTTAGTTCCTTTCACTTGCGGAGGTCAGAACCCTCAGATGCTCAGTCCCTCACCGGCCAGCCCCCAGTGTCCCCCTGGGATGAGCCTGCCCTAAGCACCACAGCTGGTCACCAGCAGCCCAGATTCAGGGGTCAGAATAAACCAGCTGGTCAGGCAAAGTTAAGCGCATTTGATGGGTGGATGGAAGGGGAAGCCGCAGACAGAACTGAGCTGCATCCCGGAGGCCACCACCATCACCGAGAGCCCCAGGTCTGTGGGTGTTCTAGAATTATCCTGCAGCCCGTCCCCCACGGGCCTGCAGCAGCAGCTGCTCCCAGCACCTGCCCTGCTGGGAGCCCGTGTGTCTGCGACAGCCCCTGTGAGCACTGTGTGTGTGTGTGTGTGTGTGTGTGTGTGTGTGTGTGTGTAATGGGGACAGCAGTGCTGCTGTGTCAGAGCACTGCGGGGGCCAGCAGGGCATTGCCCAGCTCGGCAGAGTATGTGGGCGAATGTGGCCCAGGCAAAGGACAGGGTCGGGGAGGCGGGATGATGAATGAGGAGGTGACGTCTGAGCAGCTGGAGACAGGTCCCAGGGCCCTCGAGTAGGAAAATTCGTTCCAGGAGTCCCTGATTGACAGCATTCTGTGGGGTATGATGTTTTTTGTTGTTGTTGTTGTTTGTTTATCTTGGCTCACACCCAATAGTGCTCAGTACTCCTAGCTCTGTGCTCAGGGATCACTCCTGGTGGGGGTTGCGGGAACCGTATGGGATGCTGAGGATCAAACCTGGGTCATCTGCCTGCAAGGCAAGTTCCTTAACCCCTGAATTATCTCTTAGGCCCCAAAGAGTTTTTCACAGGTGGCAGCTGGCTTTATTTCTATTTTCTATCTCCCTCCCCCAACCAGGAAAACCAAACGTTTCGAAGCAAATAAAGGTGCTGGGGGTGAGGCTGTGTGGGGGTCCCAGAGAAGAGCCCCTTTCTCTGATCTTCATGTCCACACTCGGCACAGGCCTGGCAGAGAGTGTGCTCGCGGCTGCACCCCCGCCCTCCTCCACATCTCGGGAATACAGCACCTTTCCCCACCTGGTGGGGTTTTCTTGGGCCAAGGAATGTGGGGAAGGGCATCACATGGCCCTGAGCCCCCCCCACCTTAAGAAGCGACGCTTCCTTCCGCTCCTTCTCTTTGTGACCCCTGAGGCTGCCCCCTGAGAGCCTGGGGGGTTACACCCGCATGCAGCCTAGACCAGCAGTCTGAGGGGCAGCCCTACAAGTCGGTCTCACCAAAGTGTCACCCAGAGTCACCTCCTACCCGAGGGCGGCTATGTGGAGCCACTCAGAGGTTCCTCTGCTCAGTGGCTTTCGTGGCCTCTTTAGAAAAACGATGCAAACAAAACCCAGCGCCTTCTCAGGAATCTGCCTCCTTTAGGCGAACAGTGTCCACCCTGAGGAGATCAGGGCGCGTGGCCTTGGCTCGGTCTCCAGCACCACAGACTCTTTCAGTGGCCCCCAGCACTGCGGTACCCATTTATTCCTAAGGGGCATTCTCGGTCCTTTGTGCTGAGCCAACCACCCGGTGGTGGGCTGAGGGTCGCAGGTAGATCCCCTGGACCAAGCAGCCCCACACTAAGAAAGTGCTCCCAGAGTCGCATCTGCACTCTGCCCACATGGTCCCAGCACTGCCCCCTCCGCTCAGACAAACACACACTCTGTGGGGAAGGCAAGAGCCCTGGAGGACGCAGGTGCTCAGAGAGCTGTCTCCTTCCGTGGCCTCCTGGGTCCCTGGGGGGAAGGATGGCCAACTCAGCCCCATCGTTCCGTCACCCACACTGTGGCACACCGGGATCAGTTCCTGGATCAGTTTCCTCTTCAAAACTGGCACCAGATGCCCTGGAAACATCTCCCCCATTGCCTCTTTCCCCAGTCACCCCGCCCCCCCCCCCCAGCCTCCTTTCTGCTGTTCTGGGAACCTGACTCCCCAGGAACCTTCTCTCAGTGGAAGGGTCTGGGGGTCTGGGTGGTCTTTGGGCTAGGCACATGGCACTTTGCTTCTCATCCACAAGGTTTCCTTTGCCAGCGGCTGTTAGAATCTCCATCCTTTTCTGAGCTAACAAGGTTTTAGGGGATGGGAGACCCCATTTTCTTTTTTCTTTCTTTCCTTCCTTTTTTTTGCTTTTTGAGTCACACCCGGTGATGCTCATGGGTTACTCCTGGCTTTGCACTCAGGAATCACTCCTGGTGGTGCTCGGGGGACCATATAGAATGTTGGGAATTGAACCTGGGTCGGCCGCGTGCAAAGCAAACGCCCCACCAGCTGTGCTATTGCTCCAGCCCTGAGACCCCATTTTCTTTATCCATTTACTCATCAACAGGCATCATGTGTTGATGATGCCCCTTTTCAGCTACTGTGGGTCATGTTACAGCGCGGTTCCTTCAAACCCCCCGCAGGGTCATCTCTGGATACACCTTGCTACCTCCTATCCCACCGGAAGGACTTAGGGGGAACTGGGTCTATGGGACCAGCACTGAGGGGGGCAGGTGAGGGTCAGCTTGGGGCTGACACACTGTCTCGGGGGCATGTGGCCACAGACAGAATCAGGGGTGACAGAATCAGAATCAGGGGATGGAGCTGCAGGCAATTTCCACAGATTTTTCACCCGGTGACGCAAGTGACTTGTCAGAGACGGATGGGCACACCCGAGCTGGACCAGAGAGGCTGTGTGCAGAGGTAATAAAGAGGAAGAGATGTCAACTATTAAAAGGCAGCGCATTTCTGTGGCGTTGTGGCAGCGAAGTCCATTAAATCAGAGCCCCAAGAAAGGTTGCGTGGACAAATAATTTTTTTCCGGAGTCCAAGTGAGAACTCAGCTAGATGACAAATGCTCCCGATTCCGTGGGTATCTATGACATATATTTGATGAAGGACCGAAAAAAAAAGGATAAACTCAGAACAGTCATAAAATAGACCAGAGAGCCCAGTGCCGACTGGGTGATGCATACCCAGAGGATGTCACCCCCAGCCAAGGGGCGCAGTGTGGGGTGACGCGTGCCCGAAGAAGAGTTAGCTCTGAGGTGAGACAGGGCGATGAATGGAGACATGAATCCAGATGCCATGGCCGCTGCTCAGAGGGGCCATTGCAGCCCAGGGCAGGCTGGGACAGAGGGATGGAGGGAGAGACAAATCTGGGCACTGTCCCCCTCCTCCTCGTGGATGAATCAGACACCCCGTCCCTAAGAACCCTTTGGGGCAGGCTTCTGAACCCAGTTCCCCATATCCTGCTGAGTCAGCGGTCTCACCAGCCCGGGTTGATGGGCGAGTCCTCCCAGGAAAGCCTCTAGAGAAGGAGAGATGAGGGGTCGCCCTGGGCTAGGTGGGCACCAGGGAAGAGAGCTCATGGGTCAATGAGGAAGCAGAAGCTCCTGTCTCAGCTCTCCTAGGGAGCTGGCACCCCAAGAACAGGCATCACGCCGAGCTGCCGGCCTGTGCAACTACCCAAGGCTGGTGACATGACCTGTTCCTCACTCAGCAAGCTGTGGCCACAAAGCACATGTGACATTCCTGCCCCTGTAGACGCAAGACGATTAACTTCCAATTGGAGCATTCTCAGAAAGTCGGTTCCATTTTTCTCCTTAAAAGTTTTGGGGCCAGAGAGACAGTTTAGGGGTTAAGGCACTTGCCATGTATGTGGCCTACCCCAACGCCATCCCTGTCAACATACGGGGTTCCCTGAGCATTGCCAGGAGTGAATCTCTGAGCACAGAGCCAGGAATAAGCCCTGAGCAACTTCAGGTATGACTCAAAAACCAAACCAAACCAACAACAACAACAACAAAAAACCCCAACCCCAAACAAACCTCCTAACCAAACCACTCAGCACCCCCTGGAGATAACTTATTTAATGCACAAATTCAGAGCACCCCTAATTGTATATGAGGCCCCCCACCACCACCATTCTAAAGTCCCCCCTGCGGGTAGTATCACCACTTTGGGGAACACTGGATTGGACAGTCAGAGGAGACAGAGGGGGGCAGAAAGCCCCC